GTTCACTACTTCAGGAGCATCATCCTGTAATATTATTGCTCCTGGACGGTTTCCAGTGGTTATGAGTGAATTTTGTGTAAGTAGCATGGTGACCAAAAACAGTAGTCACATTTCACGCCGGTCCCTCGATCACCATCCCTCTGAGCTCTGCATTAGATTCACTATCTTGGCTCTTAGGCTTCAGATCGGGACCATCAGTCGCCTATACTCAATCTCCAGTATACTCGGAAATGGGGAAGTCGCAGAAGAAACGGTCCATGCGTCGGCACAATCCCATGCGGGTGCCAGATTCACATCTTCCCAAAGGTCTAGAATCAGCGGCTTCATCCTCCCCCAAAAATGAAGCAGTATTGCCCATCATCCAAAAGGTGCGTCGTATGGCAAGATCCATGTACGGGAATTCATTGGCATTGTAGTTAGAGAATCCGGACGCTTCTGAACGCAAGTGGGCATGCGTCGCGGTATCCAACCTCATACAAAACGATCCATCTACGCGACGGTTGTTGCAAGGAAAAAACGTAGTTGGAGCGCTTATTACGCGTCTATCTGATAGCGAAGAGGAAGTCTGGATCGAAGCTGCTGGGGCACTAAGGTGTGGATCTCCAGCCTCGATCAATTTCTTTATCTTACATTCTCGTGCCTCAGAAATCTGTGCATTGATGGAGGGTACGATATATGCGCAGAAATGTACAATAAAAATATACTGGCTCCCCTTAAAGCATTTGTGCCGAAGGTATGTTTAACATGCACGTGAATAGATGGTGTGAGGCCGAGATCTATTCTTCCCAGATATCGAGCGCACTCTCACAGTTCCTAGAGTCACCCAAGACGGCTCCAGAGAACGCGCAAAAAGTAGTATATGAATTTACCGAAAATGTGAATACTATACTCTGGTGTCTTTCGTAGGTGCATCCATTTCTAATCGTATCGTATCAGCGCTGAGGGTATGGCCAGGGAGACATCCAACAAGGCTCTAAATGCCATTAACCAAATTAACCTGATTCCTTTTTTGATGTCCTTCCTGGCGGCTCGAGCAAAATTACCCATAGCTACTGTTACTGCCGCAGGTTCGCAGATATTTCTGCTTTGAACATCTACTTTTAGGACTTACTGCGGTTCTCAGCGCAATGCCTGTACGTCCTAACGGATGACAATCAACCAGCAATAGATGAGCTTCGGTCAAATGCGGCGTACAGCACGTGTTTACTCGAAATTGTACACGACGAAGACGGTGTAAAGGATAAGAAGATAATTTGGGATAGAATAACCACGTTGAAAGTGTTGTCAAGTGGTAAGGAACTTTACTTTGTGAAATAAATTAGCTGATTACAATTAGGTATTTTGAGCAACGTTTCACCTTTCCCTCCCCCTAGTGCCGCATCAGGGGTCGATGTTGGCAAGGAGATTGTACTTCCACTGCTTCAGCCAGTGGTGGCTTCTGTATCTCTTACTGAGTCATCAGACCTGGCTGAGAGTCTCGTAGTAAAATTAGTGAGTTGTTAGTCTTAGTGGTTCATCGGTGGTGTTTATTGATGCGGTGTGAAGGCACTGGAACCTCCTCAGATCGAGAAATTATCTCTCAAAAATGCTCCAAAGTCAGATCATAGGTCTGATACTGAGGTCGAACTCGACCGTCTGGAGAACAAATTACGCACTGTCCAGCTCGCACTTGAAATTTTGACTGGCGTGTGTGCAACATTACCTGACCCTGAGCCCATCCCTGAGTTGCAGGAAGGCGAACCAGATGCAGAAGAAGATGAAGGTAAGATCTTGTTTACATAAATGGAGGTGCCTATTTGACATTGAGATAGACAATGACGGTGTGATAGAAGAGGATGTGACCGATGGCATGGCCCTCGACGATATACCGATCACTAATGGCATAACAACTGCAAGTCATCTGCCTGCGCTCGTAGAACCTCTCATTACCCTTATCCAACCCGTCAGGCTGTCATTTCCTCCTGCAGCCGGACAATCTTCGCACCCACCGACAACATCCGTACTGAGCGCGATTCACGTTAGCGCGCTTGAGTGCTTGAATAACATATTTCTGTCGCTGAGTGCATCTCCAAGTTCTGGATTAGCCGCAGCGTCCACGAGTGGAAAACAGATATGGGACGGCGTGTGGGCAGCACTTGGGAGCGTAGGCACGGAAATCACACGCGGCCAAGAACGTAAACAGGAAATGTGGGAGATCGGAGTGGGTGTGCTCTGGGGTGTTGGTAATATCTGGAAGGGAAGCTTGGTAAGTCTTCTCATCAGCGAAGGGTTCTGGTGTTGAGAGGTTGCCATCAGGTGCCCAACGAAGATCAAATCCAGTTATTGATTCAGCTCTGCAACTCGAGTACTGATCCTGCTATCCGTGTAAAATGCATTGGCACACTTGAGTGCCTGGCGCAGCATCCACAATCTATTGATGCCAATCGCGTGAGTCGCATTTTCTCCGATGCTTCTCGAAACTAAATACAGGACTAGGTTATTGCGATGCACTTGCTTTCCATCCTCCCAACGTCCACGGCACCTTCGACGTATGGCACCGAGCCACTGATCCAAACACTGTCGGCTCTCATCGACATCTATTCCGACGAGAATCTCCCATACGATGTCAATTTCCGGCAAGGCAATTTCGTGCAGCGTCTTGTAGATAGCGTTGAGGGGGTGCGTAAAGCCGTGCGGGCAATCGACAGGCGGAAGGAGCGAGATTTGAAACTGAGAGGAGAAGAGATGCGAGACAATCTGATTGCCTTCATCAAATACCGAAGGGCCTTGAGATTTTGATGATAGCTTTTATAGCATAGCTAGCATCACAAAAACACTGTTGCTACTTGAGTAGCTATATGCAGTTAACTCCATGCGTCATGATCCCAACGCCTGGGATTCGAATGACTAGGCTGCCATAATGGCGGATATCTTCGTCTGCATTCAAAGGCCACCCCATGCTTCTGACAGCTCAGAGCGATATCTGCAATCATGGACTTATCTGCGTCCGACTTTCCGGCATTCATGATGATCCGGCCTGGGTAGCTGGCGGTAGATTTCAGCAAGCCATGCTCAAGTGCGTCGTATACATTCCAAAGCGGGACCGAACTTGGAAATACAAGAGCCGGAGCTTGAGAGACTGTATGCATGATGTACTGCGGTGGAGCATCGAGGATAAGAACTCGAACTGTGGACATATACGGGACAAGGTTCTTCAGGAAACACGGTGTGCCCAAGCGAAGGTGAGTCACGTTCGGGAAAGACGCAAGGATAGAACCAAGTGACGCTGGCGGATGACGCGCAATATGCAAATGGGTCACTGAGCTAATAACGACGCTAGAAAGGGGGCATGCGAACGAATCACGAAGGGGAGGCCAACAAATACGGAGGTGCGTGAGGGATTCTGTTTTTGCGAGAAGATTTTGGAGGATCGCGTCGAAATAGTATCGCCTATCCATTGTGATCGCAAGACACATGAATCGCGCCTCTGGGACATACTTTGCAATCTTATTAACGCGAAACCGTGTGTGGTCTACAGCGTTTAGCACGATGGAGACATATCGAGCGCATGGGTCATAGCGTGAGAGGAGTCTCTCATATGCGATAAAATCGACCATCGTCTCGATGAAGGCATAGCGCAATACCACTTCGTGGAGTACATCGCGCCATACCTTGGACAAGATCGCAATGACGCGAAAGAACCGCCATCTAGAAGGAGCATCGCCAATGGAACACCACGCATTTACAAGAATTTTCTCCACGAGCTCGTAAGGAAGAGCGCCCTTGTACTTCTGAAGTTTCTGGTGCTCTGGAAAAGGTTAAACGCTGTCGAGAGGACAAATACGCAGAAGCCAACCTGTGCGTTTACGTAGGCAAAATAGTTGTATCAGTGATCTGGGCGATTCACGGCAGCGACACGTCAGTATCGTCATATCGTTCAGCGCGATCGAACAAGAACTTGCCTCGTCATGGTGCCAACATGATGATCGTGGAATGTCAAAACATTTTGTGGAGACGTCAAACGTCCTTTCGATTCCTCAGGGATTGTTGACAGAAAATACGAAATCCACAACAATTCTATGTGGAAAGTATCAGCGCTTCAAGGAATGGTGTAAAAGTCACGAGATACCTGGTAAGCTTTGGAAGTGATACCCACTGTTTCTAGAATATTTCGTCCCTCAGTGCACTCGGTCTGAGGGTCGATAAGATAGGGTCAACTTCCGTACCAATAAAAACTTACATGTGACTGAGTGCGGTGCCCTAGTGGGGCGCGAGGGAAATACTCGAAAGGTGAGATGGTGAGATTAGTGAGTAGAATAATTAACCACTCAGCTAGAGCCTAGCACGTACTTGTGTCAATGCTAACGTTCGACTACCCGGATTAGTGAAAGTCTGAAGATCATGTGAGCTAAGTAGTGACAGTCTTCGTGCCTGCCTGTCTCAGGCTACGAAGCGTCCATTGAGATATACTTCTCTTCTGCAAGTAGGATGGTCAAGTCGTAACCTTCTGAGCAGTGTTGGGGTGGGACAGAGGCAACAAGGGACATAGTGGGGATGGCTGAAGAGGATGAAGGAGCCTTGGATGTGGTATGTCGCCTCTGTCTCCCTGAGACAAGGACCTGAGCCGCGACTCTGAGGTGAACGGCATCAATGGAGGGGATCGTCACAGCGCGACCTTGGTGCTAGAGTCTTCAAACGCTCATCTCGTATCCAACTGTGTCTACCTACTAGTCACCTGTAGGTAGATTCGATTTCAAAATGGTCATTCCTTACGTTGATTCAAACAACGAGCGCTCATTTAATTCGCTTGACTTGACCGTACCACTTTTCTGGACATGCGGCCCATCGGAGAGTACTAGTACTTGCCCGACAGCGTTTTTCTATAGAACCCGCTTGGAAGTCGTTTGCATAATCTCCGTCATGTATATGCTGGCATAGTCGCCGCACTTTCAGCTTCATTTATCACATAGGCCTGATAATAACGACGGAGTTCCCTTCCTAGATGTCCTCTATGTATACGTTAGAACAGCCTCACGATTAATACCCGTCCGAACAGAAAGACCAGATCTACCACGTCGGAGGTAGTATTCCAAATGCAGTCATAACGAATATTGGGTGGTCCGTGCGCGATTCTGTGATGTATATAAGCTGGGTGTTGATACTGTAACAACTCATACTTACCTTGATGGCATAGGCTCCTTCATCTACCTGGGTTTGTGGGCCGTGGGGACCCTTCATAGCACGGCGACCCTGTCCATACAGAGGGTATCTACGGTTTGTATGAGCTCCGGCTCATGCACCGTCTCAATATTTTCCAGTCCTGCTACGGCCACTCTGGCTAAGCAGGCCATCTTTTTTTTTTCGATGTTTATCAGTCCTAACCCTAACCTTACGGTACACCCAAAGCGTATACTTGCTTATTCATTAGTGCAAGTCTTGTCGCACACTTGTCCTTTGAGCACCGTCACAGTGTTCTCTGCACTGTTCTTCGTCAATTTGAAATTTGAAATTGAATTCATTCTCATATTGCTCGTACCCAGAATGCAGAGGACTTCAGTCGAGACCAACTCTGATGGAGCACATCTACGCCAACAAGACATAGGGACGAGATATTTTGACGTCTTCGAAGATTTTACAGCCGCCAAATATGCAATGCACAAATAATATGAATATGAAGCTTTCTATGTCATCTCTGGCATCATCAAAGAAAGTTCACCCTTTAGCACAGGTGAAGATCCTTCTGCTATCGCGGCTATCTACCTCACATGCTCATGCTCGACGAGTGGGAGTTAGGAGCGGAATAAAGTCGGCCGAAGGACAACAGGAGCTACTAGAGGATGGCGTTCGGTTAAATCAACGTCAGACTCAGCACGCATCGAAGAAGAAACTTCTGCAGAGAATATGAGGAGTCAACGAGCTAGCGAGCTAGGAGAACCTGCTCGTAAGCAAGCTAGACTCGACCTTGCCTGCCTTGAACAACAAAAAAAGCCGGTCATGTACGGAGAAACGGTCTGGCAAGCAGAGTTTGACTTGGCGCTGCCCAACAATAAAATGCAAGGGAGTCTCTATTTGAAGGCACATTTACTTGACATACAAATGAATAAAAATGATTTGGCGCTACAGTGCTATGGGCCGACACTAGATCTTATTCTTCTCGTACAACTGTTGTTCCCTGAACTTGGCTTTAGGCTAATATCCAGAAGTCGAGAACTCAAGCACAAACCTTCTTGCTGTTGAATGGATCCAATCCGGCCGCAACTCGGCTACTCGCAATCAATGCGCTCTCGTCTACGATGTCCCACTGCTGTGTCCCCGAGACAACTTGTGCTTGGTGTATGGCCCGAGTAGTAATCATGCTCCGATGTGCGTTACTAACTATAAATGAATGAGTATCTAGTAACGACCCAAGGTCGGATCGTCGATATACCTGCAGGCATCGGGCAATTCAGCTCCGCAGACAGGCGAAGGATGTGACTGGATGAAAGACTATGTCAGAAAGGACTGTATTCATCGTGAACACCCCCGGGGCACTAACGAAGAGTCTTTAATTCCGCCATCCATAGAAAAGCCTACGGAACCATCAAACGAGTCGTTGATCATCTTCTTGCCATACGATATTATCCTGTTTGGACATTAGTAATTCGAAGTGAAGTAATTGACAGCACGCATACGCTGGTGCTGGCATGATTTCTGAACGCGAATCATCAGCTTCCCATTGTAGTACGCCAGAAGCCGGCAAAGGTTCACCTGTGATCAGATCGTATACAGTCTGCTGCCCAATGCCTGACTTTTCTCCAAGTGTCAGGGTTTCGGCAAGAAGCTCCAGGATAGCGGCGAGATTACCATTACCGATCAGCTTTAATGTCGAAGCTAAAACCCACACAATTTCAGACTCATAGGTTTGCTCGCCACGCTCTTATACATTCTTGCCTTTTTCTACATTCTCTCCGAGGTCTATCACCTTGCGGCCCACTGCAGGGACAAGAAGAAAGGCGACTTCCTTCTTCGACCGGTGGTCTCCGCTCATGGCAATAACAAGTGTGGCCTTATCTGCCGCCGGGGGAGCCCCAAAGATAGGTGAAGTGATAAAGCGGGTATGAGGAAAGCTCGACAGCATCCTATCAAGATCGCCTATAGCAGACGTGTTCACAGTGACGTTAAAAACAAGAAACTTTTCACGCACCAGCTAGCGCAGGATAATTCTGACATTCGGTAAGCATGAAGCCCAGAAGCAGATATCAGGCTTACCGTGCCCATTTCAACAAAGATCTTGACCTTGGTCGGGGGTGATTGCTGATGATGACAGCATGATTATCTTACCTACAAGAAGATATGATTGCGGCGTACGGCAAGAGCTTCGCAAACTCATTATAGACACTGATTACCACAGCATCATTCGCGAGACAGGTGAAGATGACATCGCACTCCGTAGCCAGCTGGTCGAGAGTATCAGCGACTTTGATGGCGGATGCGCCAAGTTCCGCAAGGAGCTTCTGAGACTTTTCCACAGTCCTGTTGTACACGATGAGAGGCGGTTGAGAATTAAGGAGTTAGCCAGATTTCGGGCCATGAGATAGCCCATGGCTCCAAGACCACAGAAGCCGATTTGGAGAGGGTGTACTCCAGGAGTCGGGGGCCGAGAAAAGGGGATGGTGCCTGCATGCAGGGCTGGAGTTTGAAGAAGGTTACTCGCCATTGCGTTCGAGCTGGGGCCCGGGGGTATCTATGAGAAAAAGAGCAAGTAAACACCGATATATTAGCAAGTCAAGTTGTACTCGTTAAAGAGCATTTGGATACGGGTTCGACTCGAGATTTATCGGAAACGCTGCATTCCCACGTGAATTAGGAACGAAGTTAATTGGCTAGATATAGGGGACTTCGAAAAGGAACAAAAAAAAGCAAGAATATGTCAAGTCTTGCAGGCGTAATACAGTTGGATAGGTGTGTTAATGTACTTGGACGTCCAAGACTCGTAAGGGTGCAAATTTAGAGGCCATTTGAAGCATTAATTTTGCGTGTGCTGCAACATCCGACATATCAAGTACACTCGTAACCAGTCTGACTATGCGATGGTGAGAATTTATCCAAGTTTACGCGGGAGGGTTTGCCTGGTGACTAACCAAAGCATAAACGATAAACGATCTTTAATTGGCTGACAATGCTACTGACACTACTGTGGCTAGTTGTAAGCACGCTGGCTTACCTGAGTTCTCATAATCAGTACATATACCGTCGCTGATACTGAAAGCTAAGCGCTAAGCTTTCAGTATTTCACCTTTTGGTGTAACGGTTATGCATGGCGGCGGTCTGACCATGTTACACTAGTATAACTTGAAAGTAATGATGCGCATGATTGCTACGACGAAATGTAAGTGTCTGTACAGCGTGATTTGATGAAACCAAAGTTCAAAATGCGTAAACTGATTCAGTTGCATGATCCCTGTCAAATCTTCTTAATTTGCGCCTAGAACAGGGAAACGACCAGGTGCTCGGACGCTTGATTCCAATTATCTCTGGCTCTTTCTCCCCGTCTTCAGTCTCTGAATCCACATAATTGGGATCGTTGTCGCTCTCCGTGCCGAAGCGTGCATCGTACCAAGTGAGATATCGTGTGTGGGCAGTGATCTCTGATGCGGTCATGATCCGTTTCGAGGCCAAAACCCAGTTAGCACGGGACCTGACTTTGGCTTCTGCGAGGGCGGTGCAGTTGAGGCTAGGCTCAAGCTTCTTCTGGAAAGCAACGAAGACATCTCTGATTTTGGTCAGTCCTCGTTCGAGCATTTCCGTGACCGCATCCATGTCTATCTCGGGCACCAAGGTCTGCATCAAGTTTGTGTATTGAATCGAAAGCGTGAAACCGACAGAAATACTTACCCCATACGCTATGTCTGCAGGATCTTCGGAACGGACATTGATGGGTGACTCATCATCTCTCTTCACCCAAAGAAAAAATTCCACGGACGAGAGATGGCACCAAGTGTGGCCTTCGATCACGATGGGCTCGCCGAACGAACGTGGAGTGTTGCGTCGATCGAGGAATTCACCGAGGGCGAGGGGTTTGGGGTTACTATCAGTGCCGCCAAAGAGGGCCTTCGAGACGGTAGATTCCTGATCAGGGGGGCGTATTCTGTTGCTTTGTGAACTAACACCACAGTCACGCACTTCACCTCCGGATGCGCCAAGACCATGTTTTCTGCCTTTTGAAAAACGTGCGCATCGGTCTCGGAGAACGCGCACTCCCCGAAGAAGGGGATCAGAACTTCATTTGGACGTTCCTCTACAGGGAAGAGCGACATGCTCATGTCTGGCATAACGGATGCTCCCGGGATCTTCAGCGGCCAACCATGTGGATCATTGGACTGATGACGTCAGGATCGTAGGGAAGACCATTAATCGAATGATCGATGAAGACTCTCAGGATGTCAAAGGTCGCGTCATGAAGAACTGTGGGAATGTTAACGATGAGGACGTGCGACTTGTAATAGTAATCCAGCCTTTATACGAGTTTAGCCATACCTGAAACAGTTGGATGCAAATTTTGAACTCGCCTGGTCTTTATCGATACTTGGGCCGTTTCTCCCGCAATTTCTTCTATTAATCCGAATTCTCGCGCTTCGATACCGTGAAATTCCTGTAATATTTCATGAGCATACGAACACAACGTTTTGATGGCTCGAGGCTCAAAAGTACACACCATGCGGGACTTGTGTAAAGTTGGTTTGGATAAGTAATTCAACACTTTGCATACATCTTCAATCCAATTAGAATATTTGTTGATTATAATTTCTCAGTGAACATACTCAAGGTAGTGCGGTCGGAAACAAAGGACTGTTGGCAGGCATCACGCAATCCGGGGCTGGCCTCCGTTTCACGGTGTCCATAGGGGTATTTGGGGGAGAAAGGAGTGCTATAGAGATTTTTGTCAAGCTGTGGCACTAGTGTATGCATGATGGTTAGATGCTTCGTGTTGACTTCGTGTGGCAAGTAGTGAGACCGAGGTCGTGGAAGCTCCGAATGACATGATGATAGCCAAGATTACAAATGCAAGGTCATATACCATGCGAGTCCATTAGTCTGTGCGCACATTCGGAGTCATGTCTGACGTATACCTGTCACCAGTCTCCTAAACGTTGGTGCCAGCACAGACTTCAAGACGCCAGTCTTTTCGTCTTTGCCATCATCCAACGTTGAGCACCGTCTGCTCACGCACGCTCTACGCCATAACTTAAGCTACCCTCCACGATCCCACCCTTCTTTGCTGTGTGCGCTTGGTCGAGTCAAACTCGACCTCCTTTCAGTCAACAGTCGCTTCGGTGGCTTGTATATTAGTTTTTTCTTCGAGTGATAGCTGTGATTGTGTACGATACATGTACGATTTTCCTGTACGAGCTGTCACATCTCGGTGCTGTCTTCAATGATCGGTCGAGTCGAACCGCTGCATTCGTCCAGGTTTACTTGAATGAATTGACCGATGATAGACGGATCCCCTGGCACATCAGACATACTCTTTCCCTGAGTGAAGGCGAATGTATGGCCTTGTCGTCTGCCTGGTCTGGAGGTGTAGTCCCGAATGAACATAAATTGCACACCTGCAGGTATTTTTAGTCCTATGACCAACTGATGAAGAGCGGTTGTTCATTTCTTCGATGCTTCTAGGGTAACATTTCTCTATCGATGATTTGGTGCTCATTCCTCATTCCTCAGTCATCTCGTGTAACTCCTGTTCCCTAGATCCGATTTCAGTCTATCGTCATCAAAGGAGCCGAGAACTCAAGCACCAACCTTCTTGCTGTCGAATGGATTCAATCCAGCACCAACTCGGCTGCTTGCAATCAATGAACTCCAGTCTAAGACGTCCCACTGCTGTGTCCCTGCAACTATTTGTGCCTGGTGCATCGCCCGGGCGCCGATCAGGGCACGATGCGCGTTATCAACTATAAAATGATCAATATCTTTGGATGCCTGAAGATCAAATTGTTCATACCTGCAGGCATCGGGCAGTTCAGCTCCGCAGATAGGCGGCGGATGTGACTGGATTGAAATCATGTCAGAAAGAAATATCTATTGCGAGCACCTCGAGGCACCAACTTGGCATCTTTGATTCCGCCATCTAAGGCAAAACCAATGGAGCCGTCAAACAAGTCGTTGACCATCTTGTGACCATAGGCCACTAAACTATTGACACGCATCAGCTTCAGTAATGTAATCGACAGCATACATACCCTGGTGCCGGCATGATTTCTGAATACAATCACTATCAGCTCTCCGTCGAGATACAGCAGAATGTATTTCAAAATTTACCCTTAACCAGATCATATACAGTCTGCTGTCCGATGCCAGACTTTTCCCCGAGCGTCAGAGTTTCGGCGAGGAGCTCATTCACACCCATGATCATACCATTACCGATCAACTTCAGTGTCGGAGCTAGAAACCCGACCCATTTGAGACCTTTCTTGCTGTCACTCTTACACGTTCTTACCTTTTTCTACATTTCCTCCGAGATCAATCACCTTGCGGCCTACTGCAGGGACAAGGAGAAAAGCGATTTCCTTCTTGGATCGGTAGTCTCCACTCATGGCAATCACAAGTGTGGCCTTATCTGCCCCTGGAGGGGGTCCAAAGATAGGTGAAGTGACAAAGTGGGTATGCGGATAGCTCGACAGCAGTCTGTCAAGATCGCCTATAGCAGACGTGTTCATGGTTCCGTTAGTAGCGGAGAAGCGTTTTACGCACCGGCCAACGCTGGGTAAATCTGACAACATCAGTGAGCATGAAAATCAGAAGCGGATATCAGGCCTACCGTGCTCATCTCAACAAAGATTTTGACCTTGGTCGGAGGTGATTGCTGATGATAGCAGCATGATTATCTTATCCTGCAAGAAGATATGATCACGGCGTACGGCAAGAGCCTTCGCAAACTCGTTATAGACACTCGTTACTACGGCGTCGTTTGCGAGATTAGTGAAAACAATATCGCACTCTGTAACCAGCTGGTCGAGAGTGTTAACGACTTTGACGGCGGATGAGCCAAGTTCTGCGAGGAGCTTTTGAGACTTTGCCACAGTCCTGTTGTACACGATGAGAGGCGGTAGTTGAGATTTGAAGGAGGTAGCTAGATTTCGGGCCATGAAGTAGCCCATAGACCCAAGGCCACAGAAGCCGACTTGAAGAGGGTGTACTCCGGGAGTCGGGGGCCGAGAAAAAGGGACGGCACTTGCATGTGGACTTTGAAGAAGGTTGTTCGCCATTGCGTTCGAACTGGGTCTCTATGAGAGTACTGGTATATATATTAGTAGCTTGTGCTCCAGCTTCTTTACGGGCCGTTATCGATTTATCGATTCCCACTGTGCACGTGGATGTAATTGGTTATAACTAGTTACTCAGTCATCTCACAAACCAAAACAGAACAAGTTTCGGGTTAGCAGCGGCCGCCCCAGTCTCCAGATGCGCCCTGCCAGATATTAGATACCGTGCACATGAGGTACCTGCACAATTCTGGAGCACAGTCCAGCTTAGACTGTACACAACGCGGGGATAATACACTCATCATGTCTGATAAATTCAATACCCGAGAATGCCGTTGCCAATGCGTTTAAGTAGGCGTAAGACACGCACATCAAAATGGGTATAACAATATTGCGGCCAAAGCCAGATTTATAACCACTCCGCAGCCCTCCCAAAAACTTCCATATCAAAAGGAGTGATTGGGCATAGAGTTGTACGAACGCTAGCTTTAGCGTCTACGGTGCGGGGCGAAAATGCAAGTGTAAAAACATATGCATTGCAAAGCACGATCAACGAATGTGAAAATATATATCAGTGAGTGG